TCCAATGATCTAGGCTTAACACTTTTCATCTCCACTTTGCAGACTCTGACTAGGTTGGGCAGGCACTCCTGTGCACGCTCAACCGAGATACTCAGCGTCATTTAAACACCAAGCTAGTACTCCGAGCTAATTTATACATAACTTAAGTCCACATGGGAAAATATCGATTCTTAGTAAACTCACCAGGGGCCATAGCTGAGTTCCGAAAGGATTACCAAATTCCAGATGACATCCATCTTTTTCCCTAGCCGAACTAGACACCATGCCCTGGGAAAAACAAGGTTTTGTTCCATTTACCGTGCTATCCATTGTTGAAGCCGGCCTCCGATTCCTAGTTCAACTACTCCTATGCGAATTCCTTAGGCAAACTAGAATATGCCCAACCCAACTTAGCACCAATTCATATAGAATAATAAACGGCATTACCGAGCTAAATAGTCGGCTTGGCCTCAACCTCGGTTTAGCCGAGCTTTTTCACCAATATTCACTTGGCCAGAATGAAGATGGCTGGGTATACTATTTAAGAATAAGAAGACGTCGAGAGAAAATAATCAAAAATACACCGGACAAAGATGTAAATGACAATGACTTTTTCTGGGTCTCGGGCAACTTCGAAGACCAGGAAGCCCAGATACTGGGCGACCGAATTAACTGGAATAAGGGAGCAGTCGGTATGAATACCTCAGCTTAGCTTTGTGTGCTCTTTACTCTATTTATAAGTTTTGCGCCATACTAACCGTTGCCTTTTTCCTTTATGCAGACTTGAACCATCTAAAGTCACGGTACCAATACCCTAATCTAGACGCACTCCGCGCTGTGCTCCAGTACCGTGATAGAGGTTGGGCCGAGCTACTCAATTTTGAACCGACATACAGATATAACAGTAGGAGGAAGACCAGGGTAACAGACTTCCTCCTGGAACCTTTCCCAGAACCTGATCCATCTCTTCCCCAAATCAACCTTGTTCCTTTAACTGAAGAACAAGAAATGGCAAAGTGCCACGCTGTCCGAGCCTTGATCACCAAAACAACTACTCAGGCCGAGGTACCACAAGCTGGCCAAACAAATGAGGCAGTGATGGCCCTTCCAACGGCCCGTGCCTCGTCATCCCGGCCGAGCAAACGTGCTCGAACATCTGCAACCAAGCCACAACAACTTATTGATGAAGATGACATCGTGCTTCCTTAATCGACCCGACCAAGCCCAAAACTAGTGCGTTCTGACTGGGCTAGCCCATTAGAATGGGTACCAAAGATCACATACAAGAACTGAGCTATTACCAACACTGACTTAGTGGTCGTAGAGAAAGACCATTCGCTGACTTTTAACCTCGCCAAGAGCGTATGCCTACCAGTCGATATGGAGCACCACGACCATCTCACCGAGCTGAAGGCCATTCGCTCGGCAACAAAATCGATGGTGCTGGTAAGTTCTCCTTTTGCTTGTCTTTCTAATTTGTACATCTGTTTGCGCGGTTTTAACTATAATTGTTATCTCTCCTTTTGCAGGCCATGCAGAAGAATCATGTCGCTCACAAGCGTGTATTGGAACTACGTAAAACCACACGGCAGGCCGTGGCAGAGGCCAATGCTAAATCGGCCGAGCTAGAAGAGTCCAAGCAAAAAATGGTCGAGCTTCACACCGAAATAGCCCGACTCACCGAACTAGTCAACTCGGCTGAAGAAAATAAGTAGAAGGCTTCGACCGAGTTGAAAAATAAATATCTGCGCAAGCTGGCCAAGCTCGAGAAGAAGAAGGATGCAGAGATCGCCGGCTGAAGAAGATTGTGGAAGATGCAGAAGAGCGGGGTTATAAGGAAGGGGAGGCCACTTACATCCAATAATGTGAAGCTACAAAAGACATATTCTTTACATGCGGATGGAAGGCAGCTGTGGCGAAGCTCGGTTATGGCCAAGAGACCGAGGTCTTTCAGAACCCTTCTCCACATTTTATACCGAGCTACATGGTGGAGTATGCCAATACCATTCAGCAAAAATTTCTTCAAGTTTGGGAGGAAGAGGAGGCATCCCCAGAGCTTGACGACACCCCAGCTGTTACTACTGATCGCGGTCTCCATACTGCTCCATCGGCTCAGGTTGAGCCACCGGTGGAAGACTTGGTTGAAAATGTGACCGAGCTACCTGTTGAAACTGGGCTATCGAGTGGTGCAGCTCAAGTTGACCTGGATGGGGATCTGGACTACCTTTTTGCTTGATTCTGCAATTTTTCCTTTTCTTTTGGAAAGAATTTGTAACCGGGCTAAAGTCCCTCTTCTTGTAACTTTGTTTTGGATCTTAAATGAAATCTTTTTTTTGCTCGGTTTATTCCATACCTGCATTTATTTTCTACGGTGATTTGCATGAAGTATAACATTTTCTGGCCGAGATACCTATCTCGGTCTTAACCTTGTAATCTGTTTGGTCATACCTGCCAACTCTCTTTAGCCTAGATCCTTATCTTGGCTGAAGAGAGATAAATGTTGGGTATTCCTGTCAACCTCTTCAGCCTAGATCCTTATCTCAGCTGAAGAGAAGTATACGTTGGTTATCCCTGCCAACCTCTTCAGCCTAGATCCTGATCTTGGTTGAAGTGAAATAAGTGTTGGTTCTTCAAGCCAACCTCTTCAGCCTAGATCCTAATCTCGGCTGAAGAGAAATAAGTGTTGGTTTTTCCAGCCAACCTTTTCAGCCTAGATCATTATCTCGGCTGAAGAGAAGTAAATGTTGATTATCCCTGCCAACCTCTTCAGCTTAGATCCTAATCTCGGCTGAAGTGAAATAAGTGTTGATTTTTCCAGCCAACCTCTTCAACCTAGATCCTGATCTTGGCTAAAAAGAAATAAGTGTTGGTTTTTCCAGCCAACCTCTTCGGCCTAGATCCTGATCTCGGCTGAAGAGAAATAAGTGTTGGTTTTTTCAGCCAACCTTTTCAGCCTAGATCCTAATCTCGGCTGAAGAGAGCTCAGTGTTGGTTATTCTGAGCCAAGTGTTTGGTTATTCCTGCCAAACTTCTTCAGCCTAGATCCTGATCTTGGCTGAAGAGAGCTCAACGTTGGCTATTCCTGCCAACCTAGAGCGAAGTGTTGTTTATCCCGGCCAACTCTGCTTTCTTTTCCCCTAGCTTACTAAAACAACTTTTACAGAAGAAAACAATTATGCTGAAAAGGAAACTACTTGTTTTATTTGAAAAAAAAAATTACAAGTATTTTAAAGAAAAGCTAAAAATAAAATAGTTTGAGATTGGCAGTGTTCCATGGCTTGGGAATGGCCTTGTTGTCTCCATCTTCCAAGTAATATGCCCCATTTCCTGCTAATCCAACCACTTTGTATAGTCCTTCCCAGTTGGGTCCCAACTTGCCATCTCCAGGTACCAAAGTGTTTCCCATTACTTTGCGCAGCACCCAATCTCCAATCTTGAATTGCCTTGGATGTACCGTTTTGTTATATTTTCTAGATAACTCCTGCTGGTATGAGGCAATGTGAACTAGAGCTTTTTCTCTTCTCTCTTCTGCTAGGTCAAGTTCCAAGGTTATGGCTTCTTCATTCAAGTCTGGGTCAAAATTTTCACTTCTAATTGTGGAGAGCCCGACTTCCAGTGGGATTACTGCCTCCATGCCGTAGACTAAGGAAAATGGCGTTTCTCCGGTTGACCGCCGAGGTGTGGTACGGTAAGCCCATAAAACATGTGGAAGCTCATCATCCCACTTGCCTTTTGCTTTCTCTAACCTTTTCTTCAATCCATCAAGGACAACTTTCTTTGATGCTTCCGCCTGGCCATTTGCTTGGGGGTATGCCGGTGTAGAGTTATAGAATTCTATCTTGTATTCGTCACAAAAGCCTCTAAAAATTTTGCCATCGAATTGAGTGCCGTTGTCAGATATTAGAGCCTTGGGTATGCCGAACCGAGTGATGATATTCTGCCAGACGAACTTCTTCTCATCTTTCTCCTTTATTGAGGTGAGTGCTTCTGCTTCCACCTACTTTGTGAAGTAGTCTGTTGCTGCAAGAAAGAACTTTCTGTTGTCGAGTACCGTTGGAAGTGGTCCTACTATGTCCAAGCCCCACATTGCGAAGGGCCATGGGCTAGTTAATGGTAGAAGCTCTCTAGCTGACTGATGTATTTGGTGTGCGAATTTTTGGCATTTCTCGCACCTCTTGACATACTTTTCTGAGTTTGCTTGCATGTATGGCCACCAATATCCTTGTGAAATTGTTCTATAGGCCAATGATCTTCCCCGTTGGTGGCTTCCGCATACGCCTTTGTGTATCTTGAACAAGAATGCTTCAACCATGCTGGGGTGAACATATATCAGGTAAGGTCTTGTGAAGGATTTTTTGTACAAGGTCATTGATGGGGAGAGCCAAAATCGCTGTGACTTTGCTCTTATTTTGTTGGCCTCTTTCTTCTATTCGGGTAAGATGCCATCTTTTAAGAATACTATAATGGGATCCATCCATGAAGGGCCTAATTCGGCGCAACATACCTCAGCTACTTCGGGTTCTTCAATGCTTGGTCTTGGTAGGAAGTCGATCAGTAATGGATATGGGATGGATGTATCTGCCATTGAAGCAAAGCCTGCTAGTTCGTCTGCTCTACTGTTTTCTTCTCGGCCGATCTACTCTATCCGCACTACTTCAAACTTCATGGTCTCCTTTCTAACTAACTCTTAGTACTTAGCCATCCTCTCATCTTTTGCCTCGTAGTTGCTTGAAATCTGGTTTACTACCAGCTGGGAGTCACTGTAAACCATTAGCTTGGTGGCCTTCATGAAGAATGTTGATTTTAGGCCTGCTAAAAATGCTTCATACTCTGCTTCATTGTTTAATGCTGGGAAGCCAAGGTTGATTGCTTGTTCCACTATTAGTCCATCTGGTGAGATAAGGACTATGCCAAGTCCTGCACTGTGCCTGTTGGATGCCCCATCCATGAAGAGTTTCCACATCTCTCCAACGAATAGTTTCTAGCAAGTAGATGGATTGAATGATGTTTTAGGATCATGAATGTTACCGGTGTTTTCCTCTAAGTCCACGCCGGCTGTAGGTGTTGTATCTTCACTGTCAGACTGCCTCCAATCTCTGCTTTTTGATGACTCCTCACTGGGAATGGCATGGTTTGCCTCTTCCTCCCTTTCTTCAATCTGGTATGCCTTGGGATGTGGCTGGGCATCTTGTTTTGGGGGCTGCGTAATTCCTGCGGCATTTTCCATCCCCTTTTCTGTTGTACCAGTCAAGTCAACTGGGCAGATGTGATGACTTCCTGGTGTAAACTCTGCCACAAAATCTGCCAAAGCTTGGGCTTTTATTGCGTTTCTGGGTTAAAACTTGATATCAAATTGTCCCAATTCCACTGCCCACTTTAAGATTCGCTCAGAAAAGTCTGCCCTCTCAAACAAAGCTTTTAATGGAAAAGCTGTTAGGACGATTATGGTGTGGGCGTGGAAATAATGCAACAGCTTCTTGAGGCCATCATCAAGACTAAGGCCAGTTTTTCCAATGGTAGGTACCTGGTAGACCTGACAGCAGGACACAATGGTAGGTACCTGGTAGACCTGACAGCAGGACACAATGCCGGCCATTATGAAGAGGATTGTATTGTTACAAGGTCACATCCTCTTGGTGTTGTAAAGGATGTGACCTTCTGGTCTGGTTCATACATAGCGATCGGATGGTAACCTCTATACGCATCGAGGAAGCTAAGTCGATTGTGTCCTGCTGTCAGGTCTACCAGTTGGTTTATTTGTGGTAGGGGAAAACTGTCCTTTGGGCATGCCTTATTGACTGGTTTGTAGTCCACGCAGACACGCCATTTTTCGTTTTTGTTTGGCACTACTACGGTATTGGAGATCCACCTGGGATAGTGCACTTCTCTGATAAGTGCACTTCTCTAATAACTCCTATCTCCAGTAAGTTTCCCACTTCTTCCGCCACTATCTCGGCATGGTGGAGTGCAGATCTACGAGTGCGCTGTATAATTGGTCTGGCAGTTGGGTGGACGTTCAGTTGGTGACATATAAACTTGGGTTAATGCCAAGCATGTCATACGGCATCTAGGCAAACACTTCGATGTTAGAGGTTAAGAATTCCATGACCTCTATTCTCTTAGTGCTGGACAAAGACGAGCCGAGCAAAAAGAACTTTTCTGGGTCTTTTTCATCTATCCTTACCTGTACCAAGTCTTCCACTGCCTTCTGTTCAGCTGCCTTGCCAACATCCGCAAATAGTTCATTGTTCTCAGGCTCTTCCACCATCTGTACATACCCTTTGGCAGTGCGGCGGCCATTTACTATGACGAAGCACTGTTTGGACATAATTTGGCCTCCAAAGACCTCTTCAATTACTCCGGCTTCGTTGGGGAACCGCAATACTTGATGGTAGGTTGACGCTATCGAACGCATGACGTGCAACCATGTCCTCTCCAAGATTATGTTGTAAGTGGAAGGGACTTTTAATACCCAAAATTCCACCTGTTTCGTCATGGTTCCTGCCTTGACTGGGAGGATTATCTTGCCCACTGGCCACTCTGGCATTGAGTTGAATCCGATTAGGGAAGATGTTGCAGGTGCCAAGTCTTTGTTTCCATGACCTCTATTCTCTCAGTGCTGGACAAAGACGAGCCGAGCAAAAAGAACTTTTCTGGGTCTTTTTCATCTATCCTTACCTGTACCAAGTCTTCCACTGCCTTCTGTTCAGCTGCCTTGCCAACATCCGCAAATAGTTCATTGTTCTCAGGCTCTTCCACCATCTGTACATACCCTTTGGCAGTGCGGCGGCCATTTACTGTGACGAAGCACTGTTTGGACATAATTTGGTCTCCAAAGACCTCTTCAATTACTCCGGCTTCGTTGGGGAACCGCGATACTTAATGGTAGGTTGACGCTATCGAACACATGACGTGCAACCATGTCCTCTCCAAGATTATGTTGTAAGTGGAAGGGACTTTTAATACCCAAAATTCCACATGTTTCGTCATGGTTCCTGCCTTGACTGGGAGGATTATCATGCCCACTGGCCACTCTGGCATTGAGTTGAATCCGATTAGGGGAGATGTTGCAGGTGCCAAGTCTTTGTCCTACAGTTTCAGTTGTTTGAAGGTTTCGTAATACATTATCTCACATGAGCTTCCTTGGTCGATCAAAATCCATTTGATGTCGAAATTCTTGATGCGTAGAGTGACAACCAATGCAACATTGTGAGGGCAATATATTCTTGCTAAATCTTTGTCTGAAAAAGATATGACATTTGTGGCCTCGATTCCCCCCTTTTTGATGGCAGGTTGTGCACTTAATACCTCCCTTAAGTGCTCAACCTTTTTGATTATCCCCCTGAGCTCACATACCCGCTCGAGTTCGTATATCCCATGTGTTACATTAATCACGCCTTGAGGTAGAGCATCGACTGGCATCCCGTTTCGGTTATTGTGGTTCTGGGGGGCTAGCTGTGTTCCTCCTTCTATGTACTAGTCCAGGTGCCTAGCTGCCACTAACTCCTCCAAATATTGCCTCAACGGCGTGCAATTTTTAGTGCGGTGCCCCTTTTCATCATGGAAGGTGCACCGGGACCTCTCGTCATAGTCATTTTGTGCTTCTCCCAACTTTGCTGGCCATCGGACGAAAGGTTCATTGCGTATCTCACTAAGAATTCGGTAGATTGGTTTTTTGAACACTTTGGTAATGGCAGTGCGGACTCTTAACCTCCTTTTGTCTGGGTCCTCTCTGTTGGCCCGCCTGCCTTGCCCATTCCTGTTAGGTTGCTCTACCGTGTTGACTTTTGCTATAGTCTTTATATCTGGCATTGTTGTTGTGTCGGATTTTGCCTTAGCACGGGCACTATCTTCGTCCACGCGAATATGTTGGTGTACTCTCTCCATTAAGGCCTCCATCGTAAAGGGTGTCGTCATAGTAATTGAGTCCCTTAATTTGTTATTGACTGGCAAGCCCCATTTGTATTGCGCAATGGCAAGGTTCATAGGGCAATCCCTAATATGGTTGAAGGTTTCCCAGTAGCGACTGTTGTAGGACCTCAACGTCTTTTTTTCGCCCATGTCAATGGAAAGTAGCTGGTCGATCTCCACTAGTGTCTTGGTGTTCGTCTTGAATCTAGTTGCGAACGCTTCTGCCAGCTGCACCCATGAGGCAATGCTACCCTCTAGTAGCCTTTTGAACCAGGTTAAACCTAGGTCGCCAAGGCTGGATGGAAGTAGGATGCACATTAAAGCCTCGTTTCGCCAGTATACTGCCATAACCTGGCGGAAGTGGCTCAGGTGCATGTAGGGGTCGGACTTCCCCTCATAAGTGGTGAATTTGGGCTGGTTGAAGCTTAAGGGTAGTGGTGCGTTCTCAATTGCCAGAACAAACGGCGAACTCCGTAACCTTGCTAGTACTTTGTCTGCAGGTTCGTAAGCAAGGCGCGACATTGACATTCTTACCTCGACGCTCCCATGCGTCCGAGGGGCCAACCGCTGAAGGGCTGAAACTCTGCGCGGGTCACGACCCCTAGTGTCCTCCTTCCACTGGGCCCTTTCTTCAAGCACAGTTCTCAAGTCAGATGATCTAGGCAGCTCCGTGTGCCTAGATGACGTCTGGTGCGTGTGCGAGGGCCGATAGGTGCTTCCCTCAGTATACGACCTCTCAGTTCTCGTTCTCTCAGACCTGGACTAACGAGTCCTGGAGGTCCTCGATTGAGTGTCACCTGTTCTAAAGCTCCTATTTTCTGCTTGCGATGGTGTGGTATGCCTGTCACGATCTTCTAAGCGGCGAGGGGGCGTGTTGCCTTTGCCCCACTCTCTTGTCGCCATTCATTTTCCCTTTATCTGGCGTTTCATTGACTCCATGTCCGCCGCCATCCTTCATATCAACTCGTCTTGGTCCCTTACGCGATCCTCCAGAACTTGAGGATCTAGCCTTCGCCTCTATTTATTAGGACTTTGAGAGCGATGGGGGCTCCCGTCTCCCCCTTGCATCCCTCTGGGGTTTCTATCGTTGGGTTTCTAAATCTGCCATGGGAGGGATAGAAGGCAAACCTTCGCGCCTCCCACCCCCCTTTGGGGTTCGCCCATCAATGTTTGATTGTGGCAAGTCTTCATTGTGCGCCATTCCTTCCAACTAGAGAGGAAAGCTTGATCAAGAGGTTTTGTTCTTTGTAGAATTCCCACAGACTACGCCAATTGTACAAGCACGAAATAATGTTCTCGTATAATCCCGTTGATCAAGTTTGCGCTCCTCCAAACGTCGTCGTTTTACTCCCTGAAAACACAAACGTGAGCTAGCCGGTGGGTGTGTGTCGGATACCTCTCTGATGCCTAAGTCAGCAAAAATAAACAAATAGACAAAAGCTCTGTGTATTCGAGAATCAAAGTTGTGTTACCTCTACATAGGTTATGTTGTGAGCTTTTATAGTTTTTGCTTGGCACAATCCTAGTAGGACTCTTATTCCTCCATGTAGAGTCCTTCTAGGAATCATACTCCTGAAAGATAATGTTTATCCTTCAACACCCCCTCACTGCTTAAATCAAGTGAGATGGTTTTACCTCAGTTGGATGATAGTATGACTGAGCTAACACTAGCCCTTTGTCATACTTAATCCAGCGTCTTCACATGCAACACATAGCTCGGCTCTTTGTTCACTTGTACCTCAGTTTTGTCTGTTGAGACCGAGATAACTGCAGCAAGCTTTGACCGAGCTAACAGGAGCAAGGTCCACCATAAGAAGCCCAAATACCTCGGCTTCGAATACTATGACCGAGCTAATTATCACCACTCCGACCGTGGTGACTGTAACCATATTTGGACCGAGCTAATCACTAAGGTCCACTCGCTAAACCCTTTCCACCATGGCCCATAGAACGGCCTATTACTACGCCTGGGCCTAGCTTGGTCCTTACACTTCTCGATGGTCATACATTCGGCAACAACGGGCCTCGTAAAATGCAACAACTATGGGTTTACGAAACACAAGTGCCGCTAAACACTATTACACTAATCGTGCATGTAAAGTCAAACTCACCAATCAGGCAATACAAACACAAAGGTCATAGTTGACAACCCTATCTAAAGTATATATGCATACAAATATATATATATATATATATATATTGTCTACTTCGTTTCTATATATATATATATATATGATGGATAACTTTCAA